TATCTTTATCAGGGATTATTTATTCTGAGATGGAGAAAGGATATCAATCCTCAATTTTCCGCTGAGAATGAGGCCGCCATCGAAATTGAAGGGGAAAGACACTGCACCATCTAACCTCGCATCCAGTCCACTCCGCTGAAGATCAAGCGCCGATGACGAAGCTGTGAGCCGCCGAAAGAGAAGGGAAGAGAAGAGGTTGAAGAAGAACAAGGAGAATCGATCCCTTGAGAGGAGGAAGAAGAAGAACGAAAAGAAGTCTGTCCTCTTTGTAAGAACCGAGGAAGAAAAGAAGAAGAAGAAGTCCCTGTTGTTCACAAGGGGAAGAAAGAAGAAGAAGAAGCAATAAGGAAAAAATGTCGTAGGGAAAAGGAAGAAGAAGACGGGAATCCAGCAAATAAGTCCCCTTCTACAAGAGCCCAAAGGGTTATTTATAGGAAAATAGGAACTTGGGGAGCAAGATTGCTACAGTACCAGTTTTGGGTTGGACCGGTTCAGGTTGGGTCAGATTAGATTGGGTTGATTTCTGTTGACTAGCTTTGACTTTTGTTGACTGACTTTGACTTGTGTTTTTGACTTGAGTTCTTTAGCTCATTATTGACGGTAAGAACTATTTTAATGAGTTGTGATGTAACATTTATTTATTAATTGCACTTGTAATTTTTAGTTTGTATTTAAAATCGTAATGTAATTATTATCATCCATGGGTAGTCATAATGTAATTGTTATTAATAAAAAGAAGTATTATTTGTTATTGATTTCTTTTGCACCAAAAACCAAGACCCAAGTCTCGCAAAGTCCAATGTCTTAAGAACCAATTCAATTAGTCAACTTATGTGATGAACAAATCGAGGGAATGCTTAATTCGTCTAATAGAAACGAAACAAGTTAAATCAATCGAGTTGAAACAAAGTCGACTCTCCCTATCAAATTGCACCGATCAAGATTTGCTATTGCTTGATCTCAATTGAGTTATGGAAAACAAGACTCTATCTAAACGCTACAAATATCTATAACCTAGAAGGGCATTTAAGATTCACTATTTCAAATCTTAAACAAAAAGCTAAATTTTATTTAATTATATGTATTAGACCAGACAAAAAGTGGTGTCTACAAAACTCAAGTAGCATGAGGTACCTAACACGAGAACAATCCTTAGACACACGGTTCAAAGGGGTTGACTAAGGGATGATGTGATCGGGTCGGTCAACATTTGGGTCGTGGACTAAACCTATGCCTCCATCTTCCTTGCTATCAACAACGTGAATGCTACGTATCATGTAAAGGGGGAATTGCAACTGATTCTTGGACTTTTCTTCGATCTTTTTGCGCTTTTCGACCTCCAATCGTCCCAAAACTCGTCTTCGACCCTTCCACACGTGTTAGGACCTAGAATGTATCAAAACAAGCATAATCTAGCGTGAAATATGTCGAGTAACGATGATTTACAAAGCTAAATGAATAAGAAATGAGGGTAAAATGTGTACATTTGGGCCCGAATCAAGTAGTACTCTTGTTCATTTGGGTGTTGTGAAACCCTAACTATTTGTCATGTAGTTGTTGGGTGAATTGAATGATTGTTTATGGGTGTTGTTTAATTCAATGATTGATGTATTTTTCATGTTGATTGTGCATGTTTGTGCTTAGAAATCCAATTGGCCATTCTAACCTAGATGAGAAGGAAAACCGCCTTTCAAGGGAGGCTCAATTGAGTTGGGATTCCTTGGCTTTTTAAACCACCTATCTAGCTTAATGTAGGGCAAACCTCTATGTTGAATTAAGCAATTTGGTTAAGCGCGATTAAGCCAACCAACCATTGGGTTGAGTGAGAGAGTAAGTCAACCATCGATTGCCTTAACTGAGATGGCTACTTGAGTAGCCTATAATATATCCATTTGTTTGGCAAACAAGAGTGTGGTCTACGACCATAGTTGCATTTTCTAGTGGTTCGCGGTCACCATGCCCGTAACAATTAATTCAATTCCTAGTGCCATGGTAGTACTTAGGGGGAAGCGACACCCGAATGATCCTTCTCACATAGAGCTTTTAAAACCGTTTACTTTTCCCTTGCTTCACTTTAATTAGCAATCTTGTCAACCAAATCCGATTCGCTAGATAATATTTCAAACAATTGAAGTAGCAGACACGGACCGGCCTGAGTTGATATGTAAACATACTTGCCCTGTGTTGCACCCTACTAAGGTTTATACTTGGACCTTAGGCGGGAATTAATTGTGATATTCAGGATGAGTCAGAAAACTCCTTTATCCAGGGAGGCTCTATTTGAGCTAGGTTCCGTGGGCATTCAATGCCTCCTAAACTAGTTTAGAGAGAACCCTCCTTAACCCAAGAGGCTCGATTTGAGCTGGGTTTCCATGGGCATTCAATGCCTCCTAAACTAGTTTAGAGAGAAACCTCTTTAACCTAAGAGGCTCATTTCGAGATGGGTTTCCTTGGGCATTCAATGCCTCCTAAGCTAGTTTAGAGAGAACCCTCCTTAACCTAAGAGGAAATATTAGAGATGGGTTTCTTGGGCATTTTATGCCTCCTATTATAGGTTAGTTAAAGGGAAAACCACCTATTTTGCATTAGCACTTAGGGTTTGGTTGTGGGTGGCCGTCCGAAATCCAATTCTAGGGTGAAGTCTAACCATTCCGTAGTCTTCAGGTTGAGAGGGTCACATTAGTGGCTTGGATCATATCCCATTCCTCAACCTAGAGGCTAAGAGGGTAGCTTTGGCTGCTTGTTAGACTTCCCTACGGTTTATGACCCCCTAACCACACACGGTCGTTCGATTCTTCATGTCGATTCTTCAAGTCTTTTCAACTAGTGTTTAATCCATTTTACCGTTGCAAAGCAATTTAGTTTTAGACCTTTGTTTTCACCAAAACTAATCCACTAGATAATGTTTCAAACAGTCGAAGTAGCAGTACATGGACCGGCCCGGCTCTATATTTAAACATACTTGCCCTATATTGTACCCATCTAAGTTTTATACTTGGACTTTAGGTGGGATTTTATTGTGATAGTCATAGCGAGTCACCCAATGATTACTAAGACATGATTCAATCCTCTTCAAACATAGTTCGAACGTGGGTGTTTGATTGATGTAATTTTTTGGAATAGATCTACACTAAATTACCTCTACTCCTATGGAGGATCAGTCAGAGCTCCAAACTACGAAATGGCTACTTGTAGAGAAAATGGTAAAGTTTGACATAGGAGTCAATTGTATGGTTGTAGAACCCCTCTCTTTGTTAACCCTTCCTCCTATTTATAGCCATGGGGAGATAAATTTCATAGAAAACCGCCTCTTGGATAACTCCCAAAAAGAACTAATCCATGCTTCCTCGTAGTGGTGGTTACTCCTTCAACCGCCTAGGTGCCTCTCTTGGACATGTCGTGAGTCTTGGAGTGTAGCTGGCTTCGCCTGGTCTTTTTCGAATTCTCATGCCATGCTAGACTTTTGATAAGCATGTGGTGTCTCATAAAAGGGGTTCGTGGTCCTCTTGCCTCACGGCCATGGACTTCTTGAGACTTAGTCACTAGTGATATAATGCTCCACCACCACATCCTTCTCATTCGTGTCCATGGCCACTTTTATGAGGCCACATGGACCTCATAATCATCCACATGGCCCCTCTCGTGAGGCGGCAAGTCCTTCTCATACTTAATATATTTTGTGTTTTTTCAGTCTTGGTGAGGAGGCGACATGGCCTCTTCATTCGCGGTAATGGACTTCTAAGTCATATATGTGGCCCTTTACATGACACAACATGGGTTTCTCATACTTAGTATTTTTCAATCGTGCCTAAGGCCTCTTGTCTCGCGTCCATGCCTCTTTTCGTGAACCGGCATGGACTTCTTAGACTTTGTCATTTTTCTCTCCTTCGAGAGACACTTCTCGTGGCATGATCACATGACTCGAGAATATTCCCACGTCCATGGTCCCTCTCGTTGAGATGCATGTACTTCTAGAATGTAGACGGACATGGCTCTCTTCGTAAAGCGATACGTGCCTCTAGATTCTAGACGGACATAGCCCTCATCGTGAAGCGGCACGTCCTTCCCGGACTTAGTTTTTTTTATATATATAATCGACAAGACCAACTTCCCTGGGACAAGTAGTCTCAACTACGCAATATAGCATCATCTCCTGCTCCTAAATTTAAAGTTTAAAGTTTGACAAAATTGTTGATCGAATGGTATACTTACAACATCACGCCATCAATATAAATGGAAAGAACGTTTGCATAAGAAAGGTCGAACATATAACTAGCATGGTCGTCCTGTTGATCTACATGTATTGCACCAGAAACTACATTTGATGTTTAAACGTCTTTTCTCCTTCGCTAAACACAAAAGCAACAAGAATTCGTTTACAAAATTTTAAGAGTGATAAACCAATAACGTAAATTGTTATGCATAGAGGTTTGTGTTGCTATTAACTCAAGTTAAATTAAATGGTAGAAATGTCCTTTTTATATACTGAAACATTTCTAGTGATGCAAATGTGTCATCTGGTCGACCTTTTTATCCAAGTTAATGAGACTTGCAAGTCATCGTAACAAAGTCTTTGAAGGTTATGCTTTAAATGTAGACCAATGCAAAATATATAGTTGAGCACAGAAGTTATGAATTGCGGAGTGTGGTAAAAGGACGTCTTTTAAAATTTTGAAGTTTAGGAGAAGAATGTGTGAGTGAAGAAAGGAAATCACATAAAGGGTACCGTCATGCATTTGGAGGAATTTGAGGGCCACTAATAAATAATAACTCAAATGTTGTGTTTTTATATACTAGACAATGATATTTCACTCTCTTTTATCAAACAGATGTCATAAATTATGTTCTCTTCTAGCGAGCCCCCGCGATTAAATCCTTATATATTGAAATTGGAGCATAAATTAAAGCTCTTAATTCAAAACAACACTTGAATGGAAGCAAGTTTACAGATGACTTACGAACCTAATTAAATACATTAACTAGTGAAAAAAAGAAGAAGAAAAACGATAAGAAATTTATTGTACGTGTTAATTAATTAAGACTCTAAACTAAACCCAGACAAAAAAAGAAAAAAGAAAGACTCTAAACTAAACTTGCAACCTCTAGATTGCTATTTGCTACTCTTCCTCATGAGCTTCCTACCCCTTTTGTTATCACGAACTTTGCCGTCATCTTTCTCAGCATGCTCGTTGACCGTCGCGATACTGTTGTCTTCGTGGTCATCACCCATTTGGTCCACCACGTCATGATGTCTCTCATCACCGATCTCGTCGGCGGATGACGTCATTGCTCCAGCATTGCCCGTACGACATCGGTTTATCGCCAAGCAAGGCCTGGTATATGGATTCGCCGGCTGCTTAGGGCAAGGTTTCCATTCACCGCAATCCGGTTGGTCATAAATGAAAACCCCCGTGTTTATCTGCCCGCCTTGACCTTCCGTCGCCGTCAGTGAACACAAGAAAACCACCGCAAGAGCCAAAATCGTCGCCATCGAGAATTATTATGTGGGTTTAAATTCCGGCGGCTATTCCACTCTAAATGTTGTTTATGATGATAGTAATTAATCGACAGCTTATTATATATGCAACTCTCCTTTGGATCAGTTGAATGAATTTCGATTTCACAGAGTAGGTTCTTGTTTATTCCGTTTCTTGAAAGTCGGAATGTTAGGCTTGATATTCCACTGAGATCCTGTTGTCAGTTCGATATTATTCTTATTTGCAGTTGCAAATCTCCCACTCTGTTATTTATGAGCGATTTAGTTGCATAGTACTGATCTCCTTACCTTGCAGTTCACTCCCAGTCGAGAAAATAAATTGACTTCTGGAATTATATATATATGCTGCATTTTACTTCAATACTAGGTCTCATACCCGCGCTACGCGCCGTGACTGATTTTAATATGCGAAACATCTTAGGTAAATAAGTGAAATTATAAATTAAAATTATAGAACAGGAAGGGAAGATTAAGATATTTATTTGTCCCATAATAGTGGCTATCTAAACTACAGACAAAAACTAAAAGTTATGGAGTCATACAGTAAGAGGACCGGCAAACGTTTTACGTGCCACAAAGTAGAGTTAATTTCAATGAAAATCATTATGAACTGTGATAAATTGTACGCGGAACGAGAACACAACACACAAATTTTACGTGTTATTCCGGATTTGAAGATTAGAATTAATCTACGGGAGAGATGAGCTTCTCCTGCTTGTACTTTTATTACTTAACGTTACAGCTTGAAGCCTTACAGACTGGTTTATATAACCCTTTACAAGACTTTAGGGTTATATTACAAAGAGTAGGAATTCTTGAACAACAATCAACTGAATCCCAATTGTCATACGTGAGTATAGCCATGTTAGACGCCGGCTGGACTTGATCTGGCTGGATTTGACTGGACTATACCTCTCGGCGCAATACACCCCCGCAAGCTGTACTATGGTCTGTGGAGGTCACGAACATGCAGCTTGGAGAGGAGAAGCCGAAAACGATCTGCACAGAGACCCTTCGTGAACAAATCCACAACCTGTAGTTGAGAACTGACTTTGAGAGGAAGAATATCACGAGAGCCTCTTTTTTTGGCGGCGTATATGATACCTGGGCTCCTGGGGTGGGGGGGGGGGGGTGTAAGAAAAATTACTAACTTGACTCTTAGCCCAATTATTATTTTTGGTTATTTACTAAATCCTCGCTCTCAAACGAAGTGACAGTCCATTTCCCCATGCTTTGTGCGCTCGTGGAAAATGGGATTGGCAGCAATATGAAGAGCAGCCTGATTATCATAGTACAAAAGAGTAGGAGTGCGGTGAGGTACGCCTAACTCACAAAGCAACCACTGTAACCAGAGTAACTCACTGACTGTGCAGGCCATATCAAGGTACTCTGCCTACCCAGACGAACTCGCAACGATCTTCTATTATTTGTTGCGCCAAGAGACACGAGCCGACCCCAAAGAGATGTAAAAACCACTGGTGGAGCGACAAGCAGTCTGACAACCTCCCCAGTCAGCATCACAGTAAGCAACCAGATTAAGGGAATTGTCTGCTGGAAATTAAAGACCCTGTCGAAGAGACATCTTCAAATACCAAGGAATGCACATAGTCGCAAACATGTGAGCCTGTGATGGAGCATGCACGAACCGACTAAGAATATTAACACCATACGATATGTTAGGCCGTGTTACAGTGATATAGAGAAGCTTTCCCACCAAACGACTATAGGAAGAGCCATCGACCAGGTCGTGTGGTTAGGGGGGCATAAACCGCATGGAAGTCTAACAAGCATCCAAAGCTACCCTCTTAGCCTATAGGTTGAGGAATGGGATATGATCCAAGCCACTAATGTGACCCTCTCAATCTATCAACTAAGGAATGGTTAGACTATATTGTCGAATTGGAATTCGGACAGCCACCCACAACCAAACCCTAAGTGCTAATGCGAAATAGGAGGTTTTCCCTTTAACTAATCTAGAATAGGATGCATAAAATGCCCAAGGAAACCCATCTCTAATAGAGTCTCTTAGGATAAGGAGGGTTCTCTCTAAACTAATTTATGAGGCATTGAATGCCCAAGGAAACCCAGCGCAAATCGAGCCTCTTTAGGTAAAGGAGGTTTCCTCTCTAAACTAGCCTAGGAGGCATGAAATGCCCAAGAACATCCATCTCAAATTGAGCCTCTTCACCTAAGAAGGTTTCCTCACTAAACTAGCCTAGGAGGCATGAAATGCCCAAAAACACCAATCTCAAATTGAGCCTCTTAACCTAAGGAGGTCTCCTCTCTAATCTAGGTTAGAATGGCAATTAGATTGATAGGCTTTCACACAACACAATCATTTGAATAATACCTCCACATTCACATTAAAACACAACCACACACAAATCCTTCAATTCATACAAGAATTCACATAATTGTAGCTAGGGTTTACAAACACCCAAGTGAAAGAAGGGACTACTCCATGCTAGGAGAAGGGAAAACACAAGACAGGGAAGGGGAAACCATCAAGAAGATGCAAGCCTTGCTCCTTGTGCTGAAGAAATCCTCCTTTGGAGGAGAAATTCCCAAAACCTTGCTTGGAGATGAAACCCTAGCTTTTCCTCTTATTTGGTTTCTCACTTTCTCAATCTAAAATCTAAAGAAGGAGAAGTTTCTCAGAATAGGTCTCTCTCCCCTTTCTTCTTCCTTTCAGATTGCCCGTGAACATTGAAATGCGTCCATGAACTCAGTGCTGAGACCAAAACACACCCCTTTAATTGCTTGGATTCACGGTCAGTGGCCTCTGTTTACGATCAGTCGCTGGGCGTCAGTAACCTGAAAACCCTCTCTAGACGCTCCTCGGTTCACGCGTTTTGGCTCTAGTTCACGGCCCTATGAGACAGTGAACTCCAACGTCAGGCAGTGAACATTAGCTGTTTCCACCTCTTTGCTCGGTCTTTGCTCCTTTTCTTCCAACTTTCTACTCCGGGTTTGGTTTTACTTGTTAGGATCTGAAACACACTAAAACACAAGCAACCTCACGTAAAATCAACCTTTTTGGAGTTCAATTGCAACAATCATCAAAGAGAATCAGGGATAAAAAGTGTACAATTAGGCATGAATCAGTCCCCCACACTTAGACGTTTGCTTGTCCCCAAGAAAACCATTTCACATAAAGTAATCTCTCAACCTACAAAATGCTTTGGGGACAAATCAAAGTGCACAAAGTAGCAAATCTTAACGGCTATTGGCAATTAACACATGGACCTCCGAAAGCAATACCGACATCCACCACAAACGACATTCGAGGTCACCAAAACGGGCTAATGAAAAGTTCTCACCTTGTTCTTGAACCAATGCAAGTCGCAACAAGATCACTTATCAACCACAACTAACCATGCATAACATTCAAGTCCAAGGAACAAACGAATGGGCAACATAGGTCCTTACTAAGGTATGATATGACATGCAAAGCAAGAATGAATCAATCACTCTCTTGACCAGTGGGGTCGAGACCTTTTTGGTGCAAAGAATGTGCACAATCATCAACACTCATCCCTATCGTCTCTTCACCACGGAGGCAACCTCTAAATGTTAGAGTTCACGGGACGGTTGTCGTCACTAGCTTGCCTGGAGGTCTTAGACGTGGGTTCGAATGACTGGCAATTGTCTTGGACATGGGAAAAGACTTTTTGGGTGGTGGCAAGCACATCATGAGGTCCTACATCTTCACCCTGAACATGGAGGTTTTGTGGTTTAGACTAATAGCCTTCCCTATAAACAATGGCCACTAGCATCGGCCAAAAACCTTGACTAGGGGGTATGACACAACAGGACATTTAATTTGGTCGTAGGCTATTCCTATGCCTCCATCTTCTTAGCTAATGACAACGTGAATGCTACACATTATGGAAGAGGGAACTATCGCATAAGAAAGAAACGAGCAGGCTCAAATCTCACATGGCTACCTATATGCTCTATCTCTCATTCTGATTCCCTGAACTAGATGCATAAACGACTGTCAAGAGCAAGTGATCACTCCCAGTCATAGTTGGTAAGCAAACAGTTGCAAAACAGAACCCCTACACAACTCTACTGCACGTCTCAGTCATCATTATAGGTTGTCTTAGTCACAATCCAGTTATCATGCATCAATTCTAACAGCCATTCGATTCATCAATTAAAACATAGTGCCAATACGATCAAGCAAACAGCAGTACTTGGATCCCTCAAATCTCGAGATTTCGACAGCGGGATTGGAAAGGGATCAATCCAAGGTACAAAGCTAAAGGCATCAAATACACACTGGGTGAAAGAAACGGAGTCCCATGTCTACAATCCAAAGGAAAAAGACAGAAAGAAACAACAAAGAACATGGAGTCTCGGTCTGGAAAAGAAATAAAGTACAGAACCAACCACTCGCCACTAGTACACATCGCCACCATAGCCGGTGGGTGGGGGGTACTCGTCCTCATACCTCGGTGACTGCACGAAGGGGTAGTGGACCGAGTTCGCGTCCAGGCCCAGGTAGGACATGATGTAGTGTTAGCCGGACATGAGACGACTGTCGCGGTCCCGCTCACGATCGAGGCGGGTGTGAATGCTGTCATGGTCGGCCACAATGCGCTCGTTCTGCTGAGCAATGGCTGCCTACTGTTCAGCAATTGAGACTGCGGGGGTGTAAGATCCGAGGACAGCGGCGGAGGGACTCGCGGGGGCCTGGGTATGGCGAACGGGATGGAGGGGGCCCCGGCGCCCCCTAGCAGCACTCGACTCTGGCTGGTCGTCCCCGGCAGGATCAGGCACAGGCGGCCGAGGAAGACCCGCAATCCATGCCAAACGCCCCTCACGCGCAAGCATGTGCTAATGTCGGAGGCTGGCCTCACTGAATGGGGTCGATGCGCGAACCATTGTCATCCCAGTAGTGTCGACCCCGTAGTAGCGGGCCAGGGCGGTGATCACCGGGCCACAGACAAGGTAGCAATCCTGGCTGACGCAGGCCTTGGTGAATGTACGGCCGATGATAGAGCCTAGCTCGATAGTGTCCTCAGACCGACCCATCGCGTGCATGAAG